GAGCCCAAATGTCATCAACTGATGGACTGATGAATGGATAAAGTGGTATACACACACACACACACACACACACACGCAATGGAATATTACTCAGCCATAAAAAGAAGGAAATCTTGCCATTTGCAATGATGTGAATGGAAGTACAGAGTATTATGTTAAGCAAAATAAGTCAGAGAAAGACAAATACCATATGATTTCACTCATATGTGAAATTTGAGAAACAAAACAGATGAGCATAGGGGAAAAAAAAAAGAGAAAGGCAAACCATAGAATAGACTCTTAACTATAGAGAACTGAGGGTTGCTAGAGGAGAGGTGGGCAGGGGTTGAGCTAAATGGGTGATGGGCATTAAGGGGGGCACTTGTGATGAGCACTGGGTGTAGTGTGTAAGTGATGAATCACTGAATTCCACACCTGAAAATAATATTACAGTGTAGGTTAACTAACTGGAATTTAAATAAAGACTTGAAGAAAAAGAAAAAATGAACTAGATATCATTTTTAAAGTACACTAGAGAAATGTCAACTCGCTGGTAATTAAAACATACACTTCACATTTTGATTGATCAAAGGAGAGGCTTTCTTGTTTTGTTTCTTTCAATTCCTGTTTCAAATAAAATATTAACGCTGAATATATTATATGCCATTTAGATTTCTTTTCATGCAAATGTATACAGTAAATTGAAAATAATGGTCTTTCCTCTAAAATGTTTTGCTATCAGTGAAATCATAACAACATCAATATATTCATCAGTTGTGTTTTATTTTTCACCAACATTAAGATTTACTCAATGCAGGTAAACATCTGTAACTCTTAGGATTATAGAAAATAGTGTCATCTATTGAACTTTTAGGCCTTGATCCTCCAAATATTCCACAGCATCATTATCAACTATAGTCACAAGTGAGCTAAAGCTGTTGGATGACATCAATTTTTCTTTCAAGTTCTTGGGGGAAGTTTTGTTAAGTAATCAATTTCTTACCATTTTATGGTGATTATTTGACATGTGTGTGTTTTTTTTTCTTTCCCCAAATAGGTTATTCATTCTTACTTACTCAAAGGCAATTGTAAAAATACAGATCCTTTCATTTAGAGTATAGAAAATCCACTTTGTGAATTTTCATGTAAGTTATTGATTTTTATGTGCATATTATTTACACAGATTAATGGAGGTCAGTGACTTTTTACCTACCTAAGAATAAATTAAGTGATAACTGCAATTTAACTATACATAGTTAAAACCAGAAAAGGGCATTGCAAAAATCTTAAGAAGTGGAATACATTCCTTTCAAGAGAAGGAATAATATGGGGGAATTTTACACCCCAAGATTTTTCTGTGAAGGAGAATTGGGCATCAATTATGTCCTTCGAGTAAATACTCAAGCTATAGAAGGGCTGATTTGTTCTTTCACTCTGAATCTTGCAAGGGTCTCCCTTGCTTAACATTTTCCCGGCCACATGTATGCACTATGTAGAACTGAGCAGTGGCCATCCTCTTCTTAGGCATGTACCAACCGGTCTCTATTCTGCCCTCTGCCTCCCTGACAGTGACAGGCAGCCTACTTCAGCCTGGATCTTTATTTGCCTTTCATCCTAGGCCACTGGGTTTGCAACTACCTAGTGGAAAGTCTTCATAAAGGAAATTAACAGTCTAGTTCATTCCCTAGTTTTCAAACACTTGCTCAGAGTCAATTTATTTCAAATTAAAAAATACAGTAATAACCTTTAAATACAAGATACAACAAACTGATTCACTTCCTCGGGGCATGGTAGGTTACAGACAAAAGAAAAAGGGGAAAAATGCTTTGAAGGAATATTTTTGCAAAGTTTTGTGTGCAGATATTTATACTAGAGTTGATCATAGTAGTAGTTAAAAACAATGGCTCTCTGAGTCAGGTGAAATGAGAAAGAAGTCAGAAGGAGACCTGTAAAAAAGTCACATCTTAAGAGAAACAAACTACTGGATCCATTTGATGACTGGATATAATCTTTACATAAGTTGAATTCTATAAAGATTTGTGCATTTCATGGTGCTTCATGAACATAAGTCCTCATAATATATCTCTTTTTTTGCCAAGCATTTACAGTTTCCCATTATATATGTAGCCATTTGATGAGTTATGATGTTCAGAGATAAATTAAAAATAATTTACTACAGGGTTCCTGGGTGGCTCAGATGGTTAAGCATCTGCCTTCGGCTCAGGTCATGATTCCAGGGTCCTGGAATTGAGTCCTGCATTGGGTTCCCTGCTCAGCAGGGAGCCTGTTTCTCCCTCTGCCTCTCTCTCTCCCTGTCTCTTATGAATAAATAAATAAAATCTTTAAAAAAAATAATTTACTACAAGCTACTCTTGTCAAGATGACACTGATTATTCTGAAAGCAGCATTGTGTTTAATGCAGTATGAGTACAGATTAAAGTATCTCTTAAACAAATCAGAGTGTAAGGTTCTGGATGCATACTGACTCTGTTTCAAAACTTTAAGTGCATCTCACAGTGTGGCAGGGTTGACATCTGCCATCGTTCTGCATAGACTGCTCCTGACTGAAGAAAGGTAGACCTTCCTAGATACGTTGAGTTCATTCAGAGAGTGTACATTTATTCTGTTTCCCCCATCAGGTAAAATAACAGTTTTCACCATAAACTGATGCTTCAACAATAACCCTGTTATTAATCAAAAGAATAAAATTAGGAACAATTTCTCCATATTTATCAAAAGTACAGTTTTCTGTTGATTTTTAAAATCAACTTTAGTGGACTCATAAATTTAAAAATTAGTTTAGGGAGAGAAGGAGGTAGAGAGTGAGAGATGCTACTTGCATCCTGATCAAGCATTATTGAATCTTTGTATTGTACCCCTTAAATTTCATTCTATTAAGAGCTGTAATATTAATCTATATCTTTCAAATAGCAGTGATAGTATCTACTTGAAAATAAGGTAGACAAGTTGCGTTTGTAAACTGTAATAAAGTTTATGTTCAATTGAAATTAGCATTATTGCTCATTAAAAAATTCTTTGAACTTTAGTGTCTTTATACTATAAAAGAATAGCATTAATAGAGCAGTATATGTGTATATGCACATTGTGTGAACTGAGTGATGAAATAAATACAAAAATGCACTGTAATTTGTAAAGTTACAAAATTGAATTTTGTGGTTTAATGCAATGTGAACTTATCTATGATTTATAAGAAACCTACTTTCTTCATAGAACAAAGGCCACATGAGTGAATCAGGCCACATAATCTGTCTCTAGAACCAATATATATATATATATATTTTAAAGATTTATTTATTTATTTTAGAGAAAGAGAGTGGGGGAGGGACAAAGGGAGAGAGAGTCTAAAGCAGAGTCTGCGCTGAGAGCAGAGCCCAACGCGGGGCTCAATCTAAAGACCGATGAGTTGATACTCAACAAACTGTGCCACACAGATGCCCCATCTCTAGAACCAATATTTTAAATTGATGCTACCTAACTATGAACTTGACTTGTATGTCTTTTAACAATGGTAGTTTGAAAGAGTATTTAAATTCAACTCATCCACTCATTCATCTAGCAATCATTTATCAAGGACTGGGCTCTGATCTGAACACTTAAGGTTACATAAACAATTTACTCATCATTCTTTTTTTTAATTTTTTTATTGTTATGTTAATCGCCATATATTACATAATTTGTTTTGGTGTACTGTTCCATGATTCATTGTTTGTTCATAACACCCAGTGCTCCATGCAGAACGTGCCCTCCTCAATACCCATCACCAGGCTAACCCATCCCCCCACCCTCCTCCCCTTCAGAAACCTCAGTTTGTTTTTCAGAGTCCATCATCTCTCCTGGTTCGTCCCCCCCTCTGACTTACTTAAGAGTCTTACTTAAAGAGACTTATAATAGTAGAAGCCATATGTACCTATGGAAATAAATATAACATGAAAGTGCCATATAACAGAAAACAAGAATTTATTAACTCTTTAATTCTGCAACAAATTTCAGAGAAAATTATAACAAGACTTTTAAACAGAGAAACGTGAATATGGAAAATTCTGGGTTGAATTAAGAATGTGTAAGACTATTATATTTTGGGAACAGGCAGCATACCATTGTGGCTAGGCCTGGAGTGTACCAAGAGAAATATTAAGAGATACAGTGGGGGAAAGCATTTCACACAAACTTGTGAAGAGCCCGTATTGACATACCATGGTGTCTACTTTATTGCAGTTTTTAAACATCATATGTCAAAAGGACATAAGGGATAGCACCCCTACAGAATTTTTATGATAATTACAGATTATTCTATAAAGTGTGATTCACAATTTCTGCCACATTAGAAATACTGAAATGTATTTCTTTCCCATTCTGATGATGTCATAAACACCATTTTTTCTTCACACTCAACAGAACTGACACCTTCTCACCCTGAATTGCCTGAAAGTTTGTGCCCTCCATTCACAAGGTTCATATTCTACTGAGAGCCCACCTTATTGTATTAGCTGCACCTTGCTGTGGGATGTTTTGTTATGTGCACACGTGTGTGTGGATGGGTGGGTGGGTGTGGAGAGCATCCATGGTTAACATGATTTTTTTTTCAATATTAGTCACCAAAAGGACATATGCAATTTTTTTTTTTTTGCAAGAGTAGAATGTCAGCATCAGAATGTATTTTGGTTATCTCCCTGTATACCTCAGTAATACATAAGTGCTTTAGCAAATGCAAGAAAGATATACTTAGTGGCACTTAGTACCAGTATATCATTTTTAATATTTAACTGTAATGCCAACTGAAACACATATTTTTTAACATGGTGGCAATTATCCACTAGGTTCAGGAGACAAAAAGCAGAGTGATTTCTTTACTTTTATGTATAGAAGGGAAACCATATAGCACAAACACAAAATATTCCCATTTAAGTTAACAGTAACATGACATCATATACTTAAGTATTTCATTTTGTTTTATGCAAATAAAGAGTAATAAATGTAAGTCATAAGAAACCAGTACATACTCTGAGGAAACCGTGGGGGGTTGTCATTGACATCAGTCAGGGTGATGTTGACTGTTGTAGATCCAGAAAGCCCTCCAACTTGTCCAGCCATGTCTTTGGCTTGAATGACCACTGAATAGTGTTCTCTGGCTTCTCTGTCCATATTATGTAAGGCAGTTCTAATAACTCCTGTAATACATATTTAAAAAAAAAAGTATGGTTTATATATTAAATGAGAAGTAGCACAGATATATCTTTTTTCTTTCTGTTTTAAGAAGTGCATTTTTAAATGAAATACTTTCATGAGAAAGCCAGTCTTCTGAGATAAACACTACCTTAAACATGTTACTAAAACCATGTCATCGAATCCTTTGTTTAAAACCACAGGTCCAGAACCATTCTATTCATGGCAATTAAGAAGCCCATTAACCATGAGAAACGATGGACTCTGAAAAACAAACTGAGGGTTCTAGAGGGGGGCAGGGGAGGATGGGTAGCCTGGTGATGGGTATTAAAGAGGGCACGTTCTGCATGGAGCACTGGGTGTTATATACAAACAATGAATCATGGAACACTACATCAAAGACTAATGATGTAATGTATGGTGATTAACATAACAATAAAAAATTTAAAAAAGAGAGACTATGGACTCTGAGAAACAAACAGAAGGTTCTAGAAGGGTGGGGGTGGGGGGATGGGTTAGCCTGGTGATGAGTATTAAAGAGGGCACGTACTGAATGGAGCACTGGGTGTTATACGCAAACAATGAATCATGGAACACTACATCAAAAACTAATGATGTAATGTATGGTGATTAACATAACATAACTAAAAAAAAAGAAGAAGCCCATTTCTTTGTGTTCCTTAGGGTAGCTTGGAGGGCAGCTGCACAGCCCAAGCTTGCTCTTCTGCTGGATTACTAAGTATTTCACAAGTTGTGCTCCTCACAATGTCAGATAAGATGATTTGAGGAGAGGTTAATTTTCCTCTTTACAGAACAATTTACATAGCTTCCTGACAGGGTTGTCAAAGTTTGATGATGGAAAACATTGAAGAATTGTGGGTACTTGAACAAAGATTGTAGACAGGAATCATTTTAACATTTATCAGATTAAGAAAGTCACTGTTTTTAACAGGATATAATGACTACAATAAGAACTAGATCTAAGTACCTAAGCAAAACAAAGTGATGAAGTTGATCCCAAAAATACCAGGTAAAAGTCACATTCTTGATTTCATAGGGCCAAAGAAGACAAAGGTACTTTTTTATGAACTAGTACTTGGATTCAATAAAGATATAAAAAATGTTACGTGTTGTATCTCCATTTGTATCAAACATAGGTACATATAAATTAGATAGCTTTGTCAATAGAGCCTTAAATTTAAAAACTTTGAAACACATTTTCCAGAGTTATAAAATTACCTGAGTTATAAAAAAAAAGTCCTCATATAGATGAGCTATATTATAAATAAGTATATGCATATATGCATATATGTATTTACATTTATTTTATATGTGCATATAAATATATAATATAAATATATTTGCTACTCCATACACAGGTCAACATTTAATAACTACCTTTTTTTTACTTTCTAAAAAATATTTGGATCATGTCACTTTTTAAAGAAATCATTTATTTGAGAGAGAGAGCGAACAAGCACAAGTACAGGGAGGGGCAGAGGGAGAGGGACAAGGAGTGTACAGCCCAACACAAGACTTGATCCCAGGACCTTGAGATCATGTCCTGAGCCAAAGTCAGAGGCTTAATCTACTGAGTCACCCAGGCACCCCACAGATCATGTCACTTTTTGAGAAAGGCACCGATGGCTTCAACCAAACACACAATTGATTAGTTAGTAGTGCAATTCATAGGACAATGCCAATTATAATAACTGCCAACTACAGAGTATAACAAACACTTTTACAGACCAGTATATTGATATAATGATAGAAAATAGGGTTGTATATTCAAGTTAAAAATAGTCTTTTAGAAGTGGAAAGGATTAGTCAATCAGTTTGAACATAGAACACTGGAGCAATATTTTTGTTTTACCAAATTGATTGTATGTGTAATGACTTTGAGAGGAGAGCCTCAGGAACCAGGAAAATCGATCCCACAACTTTCAATATTTGTGAATTTTTAATTGAGGGAGTTCAGGAAAATTTTCCTGAAGCTAAATAAAAATGAAAATTATTCTTATCAAGAGAAATTATGATAATATGGTAATAAATGATTCAACTAATTCATGCATACGAAAAAGCCTCAAGCATCCTTATTGAAAAGAGCAATGTTTTATCACATATGATAATTATATAAGAAGGAATTGAATTGATGCAGAAATGAACAAGCAAGGAATTTATGAAAATATTTTATGAAAGAAACATATACTTTCTAATATTTGAAAAAAAAGATGCTCTAAAAAGAATACATTATAAATGGGACTTGCCTCTGGTGTGTAGAAGTTTGAGATTATTGTCCAGGATAATGTTTTACAATGAAATCATTTAAGTGTTATTTGCTAAATATAAAAATATAACAGTAAAATCAATCATTACAAAGTGAATGATAGATATATTTATACAATTTGAATGTTGTTCATTTATGAGAATCAGAGAAGAGAAATCAGCACAAGCCCTGTTTTATAGTATGAATTTCAGTAATTTCATTCCATTGCCATTATATCCTTCCTTTTATAGTACACCTACATCAGGCACAAAGTGAGAAGAGACCCGTTAGCCAAATTTGCTTATGGAAAGAAAACAGTATGTCCAGGGTTGATACATATTTCTCAGAAATGATTATCTAAGAACCCATTTCAACTCACAGTTCTCTTCAAGATGGTTCAGTGGATGTGCTTAGCTATGACTTCCCCCAAAGGCACATAGGCAACTGGAGAATGCTCTGTCAAATTGTCATAGGAATATGATCCCAGTATGCAATAATCTCCTTCTATCACATTGCCCAGATGCTTGTAAGTGGGGTAGCTTAGAACACAGCTGATGCACAGTAACTTATTTTTTCCTTCTAAATAGACATTTTTAGAGCAGTTTTAGGTCCACAGCAAAATTGAGAAGAAAGTACAGTTATCGTGAACCCTCTCCCTATTCTTTCTCGGAGTACACACACACAGCTCTCCCACTATCAACATCCTGCATCAGAATGGCACATTTGCTATAATTGATGAACCTATATTGAACCTCATTATCACCCAAAGTCCTTAGTTTATATTAGGGATCACTTGGTGTTGTACTTTCTATGGGTATGCACAATGATGGAATGTATTCATCATTATAGTATTGAGTAGAATAGTTTAACTGCCTTAAAATTTTTTTCTGCTCCATCTATTTATCTCTCCCTCCCTCAACACCTGGCAACCACTGATCTTTTTACTCTTTTCATAATTTTGTCTTTTTCAGAAATCATATAATCAGAATCATACAGTGTATATTTTCAGATTGCCTTTTTCACTTGATAATAGGTATTTAAAGATTCTCAATGTCTTTTCATGGCTTGATAGCTCATTTCTTTTTAGTGCTAGATAATATTCTGTTCTTTGGATATACAGTTTGTTTATACATTCACCTACCGAAGGAAATCTCCGTTGCTTCCAAGTTTCGGTAACTATGAATGAAACTGTTATAAATACCTGTATACTGTTTTTGTGTGAACATAAGTTTTAAAATCCTTAAGTAAATACCAAGGAGCATGATTCCTGGATCATATGGTAAGACTCTGTTTAATTTTGTAAGAAACTGCAAAACTGCCAAAGTGGCTGTACAATTTTGCATTCCCACCAACAGTAAATGAGACTTACTGTTGCTTTACATCCTGTCCAACATTTGTTGTAGTCAATGTTCCAGATCTTGGCCATTGTATTAGGGGTGTAGTGGTGTCTTATTGCTTTCATTTGAATTTCCCTGTGTATATGATGTTGAACAGTTTCTCAAATTCTTATTCCCATATGTATGTCTTCTTTGGGGAGGTGTCTGTTAGGTCTTTTGTCCAGTTTTTAAATTGGTTTCTTTGTTTTCTTACTGTTGAGTTTTAAGTTTGTTGTATGTTTTAGATAATAGTCCTTTATCAGATTTGTCTTTTTCAAATATTTTCTGCCAGCATATGACTTATCTCCTTATTCTCTTAACAATATCATTCACAGTGTAGAATTAAAAAAAAAATTGGAGTCAAGATTAACAATTAATTTCTTTCACAGTTCATGACTTTAGTGTTATATTTAAAACATCATTGCCATACCCAAGGTCATCTAGATTTTCTCCCAATTCCTTGTAGGAATTTTAGAGTTTTGTGTTTTATATTTAGGTCTCTGATCTATTTTAAGTTACTTTTTTTGTTGTTGTTGTTAAGGGTGTAATGTCTGTGTCATCTTTTTTTCTGGTGAGAGCTCTCTTCCTGGTTTGCAGGTAGCTGCCTTCTCACTATGTCTTCATATGTCTTTCCCCCAGTTTGTGCATAAGGATAAAAAAGGGAAATATGGTTCTCTTGTGCTTCTTATAAATCCACTAATCCTGTCATGAGGGCCCCACCCTTATGACCTAATTTAAACCTAATTCCTTTTAAAGGCCACATCTCAAAATATCATCACTTTGGGAGTTAGGGGTTCAACATAATGAATTTGGGGGGGTACACAAATATTCAGCCCACTGATGATTTAAAAATTGTCACCCATAGATGGAGACCAAAGAAAGAGGCTGACCACTCCAGATTGTTAGGTGGCAGTTTTAAAAAGCGAAGGAACTTACATATAAGACTGGCCTTGGAAAGCTGTAAGATGAGTATATCTCCATACCCACTTACAAGAATGTTCTCTAAAAGTTTATATAGAGGACTTAAGTGGTTTCAGTCATAAAAACAGTCTAGATAGTCTCAACAACATACTGCTTACTCAGCCTGCTTTCTTAAAAAACTGCTTCCACCATGGGACAGTGGGTAGAAAGCATATTTCAAAGACAAGGGAGGAGGTGAGGAATCTTTGATTGCCTGTGTTCAGCTTGTAGGTCAACTGGAGGTCATATCCTCTTAATGACCACCCCCAATAGCCATAACAACTCCTTCAGGCGAGTCCAGTGCAAGTGGGTGCAGGCCATAGTTTGAAAAGACAAAACTCAAAAGATGAAGTGCTGCCACTAGGTATTTATACATTTCTTTACTTTTTATCTCCATCTTTTT